ACCGCCCCCCCGCAAGGGAAAGCCTGGTGGGGCCAGGGGCCAGGGCTCAGGGGTCTGTCTCTCAGGAGGCTCACCCTCGTCCAGATAAGAACTGGTGTGCATGCATGCGCAGGGAGGAGCTTCTGGAAACACCCAGAGGGCAAGCTTCCAGGGCCAGGTGGGTCCGATCTGTGCTGGGTTAGCGGAGTCCTCCGCAGTCATTCTTGGGGAGAAGTCCTGAGGGCAGAGACCGACACCCTTGCAGGTTTCTGTGGGTGGGTGGGGAGAGGTGTGTGGAGCCCTGCTCACCTGCAGGATCTCCCTGGCCGGGGACAGTACATTTAGTGAACTGCTGCTCATACTTCCACGGGGGGATGAGGGGATGGAGGGGTGCCGGCTGCCTGGACGTCCTGCAGCCCGTGAGGCAGTCCTTGGAAAAAGGAGTGTCTGCCTCCAGTGTCACCGCCCTTTCTCCCCACCCCACCCCAGTTGCTGGCTGCGAGGAGCAGGCCCCAGAGGGCCCCGGCCTGGGCAGCTCCTGTGAGGGAGGCTGGGCACTGGGCTTGAACACCTCCATGAGGTCCACTCTCCTCCCAGCACATGAGAAGGAGGTCACCAAGGAGGACAGAGCAAGGCCGGACCCAAAGAACAGGCAACAGGGGAATGGGAATGAGTGGAGTGCTGACTGGTAACCATCCTCGCCCCTCGTGCTGAGCCTTTCCGGGGGGGGCTGCTGTGAGGCCCCAAAGAGAGTCTCAGGCACCTACAGTGGAGCCCTCCCCTCCCCCCAGCACTGAAGAGCAGCCCATGGTCATAGACCAAGGCCGAGCAGGTCGGGACCCAGCAGGTCACCTGCTCCCGCCAACCGGCCGAGCAGCTGGCCCCCACAGGAGGCAGGGACAGCTTCCCCAGTGGGAGAGCTGGGTGGCCACAAAGCACCTTGAAGGGGCCCCACACTTGCTTCGGGTTCTGCCATAGCCGTGTTGACAGTCTTACGAAGTTCTAGACAAGGAATCCCATTTGTCATGTCCTTGGTGCTGTGGGGGTGGCCTGCCCCCCCCCCCCCCCCCCCGCCCAGTCCCGCTCTGGGTCCCTGCCCCCTCCTCCCCTCCTCGCTCCATCTTCCTTGCCTGCTTCGTGGAAGACGAAGGCCAGACTCCGAGGTGATCCTGGTCAGCCCTTCCATCTTTCAGAGGCAGTGCTCCCCTGCAGCGTAAGTGGGACCTCTGGGGGAGCAGCTAGAGAATGGTGTTTCCCCAGGAGCCACAAGCCTCGCGGGGAGGCTCACATCAGATGCTGGCCAGGCTGCCTCCCCTGGGCTCGGGCCAGGGACCTGTGGCCCCGCTGGCTAGGGGACCATGTCCGCCCTGGGCGCTTGGGGGGCTCTGGGCTGCTCCGGGCCCTTCTGGGGCTAGGGCAGCCTGTGCGCTTGGAGGCTGAATGAAGGCGTCCGCCCGCGTGGGCCCCCACCTCTAGAGAGCAGCTTCGCGTGTGCCAGACATCCCGGTTCCTGCCGGCTGGCGATGCAAGGTGCTCAAAGTCTGAGCTGCTGGGACAGGCTGGCTGTGGTGCGGAAGGCTCGTCTGGGCTGGGCCAGGCTCAGGCACCAAGAGGGTAGGGGTCTGTTTTCAGGGTTTTCCTCCCCCTACACATTGTGCCACATTCTCCGACCTGTTTCCTCTCCCCAGCCTGTCAGGTGCAAGGGGACGGAACCCTGGAATGATTTCCAAACATCGGACATCTCCAGGCCTCTCCCCTCCCCTGTCCTGTTGGTTTGGGGTCCTTTCCTCCTAAATTGCAGCTGGAGCATAGAGCGAGGCCCCAGCTCTCACCGAGCAAAGTACAGCCTGCAGCAGGTCCCCTGCACTCATGGAGGAAACAGAGCAAAACCCAGATCATTCTTATTCGACCCGGGGGGGGGGGTCTTTTTCGCGGGGTATCACCCCCCTCAGTAAACCGGCACTGTTACCTGGAAGAGCTCACTTGGGTCGGCTGACCACGGAGTCCAGGCGAAAGCCTGCCCTGGGGCACTGCACCTGCTCGGCCGGGAGGGCCTTGCGTGGTTCTTCCTTTCCTGTGAAGGGCTCCCAATAGCCTCCCAAGTGCAGCCCTCCAGCCCCGGTCAGATCTGGGACGTATCTGGGGTTTGGGTGCCCAGCGTGTCTCCCGAAGGCTCTGGGCTCTTCTGCTAAAGGAGGCTCCAAAGACTCACCCTGAGCAGAGTGGCTCCCTGACCACCCAGGGGACCCATCTTGAGGAAACCCACCCCCTGGTGGGGGCAGGGGTGGGCTGATTCCCGCCATCTCCCGGCGCTCCCACGGCTATGGCCTGCACGGTCCTTTCCCAGCCCAACTGCCACCTGCCCGTGCTTTCTCTGGGTGGTGCTAGTCACATTCGGCACCGCCTGGGTGCCCCCAGCACGCAAACCCACAGGCAAGAATGTTCCACCGCCCTCGACTGCCCTGGGCAGACTTGGCGTGGGAGGACTCTTGTGGCCTTGGCCCTTTTCATGGGAGAGGCAGCTTCCTCATGCCGGGAAGGAGCCTGAGCAGAAGAGCTCAGCATGAACTGTTGAGGACCCCCTCCCTGCTGAGTCCCCCCCTCCTCTCTGGCTCAGACTCTCCCACACATACCCCATCCTCATGGAGTGACTTTTGCTCCTGCTATCAGGGGAACCCATGTGCTGGTCCCATCTGACAGGTCGGGCGGGGCGGGGGGTCCACCCACCTCCCCCGCACAGTCACGCTGCCCTGCTCCAGGCTTCCCAGCCCAGCCTCCAGAGCTGGTGTCGGCCGCTCACCCTCAGCCCCTGCTGGACCCAGCTGTTCCAGACCCAGGTTCCATCCCATGGGTTCCATCCCAGGAGCCTTCTCCCCCAGGTCCCCACCCTGCCTCTGTCGGTCACAGCCTCCATGAAGGCCTTCCTTCCCAGCACCCACCCATCTTGGCACGCCCCTTGCTAGCCATGGGACCCGTCCTCCCTGGGTTATCTGTCACCACTGCACTTACAGATACAATGCGAGGTGACATACCGCCTGTGGGAGACGCCAGCCCTTGAGGGTCCAGCTGTGCAAGGAGCCTGGGGGACCAGCAGCCCCTCCCTCAGTAGGCGGAGGAGGACTCTAAGGCCCCAGAGGGGCAGGGAGGAGCGGTGCAGGGTGGGTTTAGTTGTCCCTTGGTGGGAAAGTGGCATGGGGTGGGTCAGCCCTGGACAGGTGACACGTGTCCTCCTGCTCCCACGCTGCACCTGTCACATCCCCATCACCTGCATGGTGGCAGGCTGTGTGCTCTGGCTTGGCGCCGACCTCAGCATCTCCCCCGCGGGCCCATCAGGCCACCGCCCGGCTCCTCTCCTGTAAAGGAGGTTTTTCCGTTGTTGCTCCCCCCACACTGCGCTGTCTGTGCCGCCTTCTGGGTGCTGAGATAAGTCACGCCTCTGCCTTCCTTAGCCTTCTTTGGTGATCTCCATCAGAAGGATCTAGAAGATCAACCTTGCCAGTGGAGGCCCGGCCCTTTTGTCACATGGCCTGGCGTAAGAATAGACTAGGTCTTGGTGGCGGAGTGAGGGTTTCTGGCAGGTTTAGTAGGGAGGAATTTTTCTCCTTCAACAGATTTTCACTTGAAAGCCTGATGACAGAAGCAGCTGAGTCTCGGCAAAGAGAGAAAACCCCGGGGTGGCTGATTTAACCTTGAATCCACCTTGGCAGCCCGCAGCCTCTGCAGGGATGCGGCCCCCGTCCTCAGGGTGACAGCTGGCGGCTGTGGGGCAGGGAACCAGGACATTTCATTTTCAGCGTCCCCCCAGCCAAGGCGGCAGTCCTCCTCCTTGCCCCCCGCCCGCCACAGAGCTCCTAGCTTCTCCTTCCCCTGTGCAGAGCCCCAGAGCCCCCCGTAGCTTCGTGCTGTGGTCTTGCTGGCTGGGGACCCGCTTTCTCGGGCCTGTGGCACTGTTCAGCGCAGGTTCCCACCCCCCTCTAAGGACGCCTATGTTTGGGGCCCATGGTCTTCCCCGCTCCATCTCCGATTCTGTCCCAAAGTGAACGCGGGGCTGTGTGTTCCTGGAGAAACATGGATTGCTGGGGGAGGAGAGGACTTTTGTGAGGCGGGCGTGTGAGATGGAGGTTTGCGGGCCGGCTTCATTCATCACTGACTTCCAAGGGTCCGGTTCTACCCAGGGACGGGACAGGGATGGCCCTGCATGCTCCTTGCAGAGTAAACTAAGGCGCTACATCGGTGTCAGTTCTCCTTTTCGTGCAAGGAGCCCCTCGGCTCCTTGTCCACGGACGTGCATGCACACGCACACGCACAAGCGCGCGTGCACACACAGGTTTTACCTGAGAGACACCCAAGAAGGAGAAGTACGCTGAAGAGCAGGGACTCGCAGGCACACTCGCCCCTGTGCGCCCCGGCCATGGGGTGCAGGGTGCTCTCCCCAGGGACCCTCTGCAAAGTCTCCCTTCAGGTCTGTTGCAGGCAAACAGTGCCTCTGCCGCCGCACCCACAGGTACCGTGTGAGGTGACACAGCCCTCTCTCCTCTGCCTGCTGGGACGCTGAGGCCATTTCCCAGAGTCCTGGAGGGTCCAGCCGTGCAAGGAGCCTGGGGGACCAGCTGCCCCCCTCACTAGGCAGAGGAGGCGACTGAGGCTCCAGAGGAGCAGGGAGGGTAGGGTACGGGGTGGGTTTAGTTGTCCCCTGCTGGAGAAGTGGAAGGGGGTGTTGGCGCTGGACAGGGGACATGTGTCCTCCTGCTCCCACGATGTACCTGTCACCCCTTGCCCTAAAGGTGCCCTTGCATCTGGGCCTTCTGCTGGGCAGCAGGCCTTGCCAGGCTCCCTCTGACGGTGCACACACCTCGTGGGTGACAGAGGTGAGGTCCTCGGAGCCGCCAAGGGCACCTGCCCCGAGGCTGTGCCGCTTCTCTGGGGGCCACCGGCAGTGAGTTACCTTGCTTTGAATTCATCCTAACCGGAAAGTACTCGTTCCCTTTCTAATGGAGACTTTTCTGTGTGCTTGTTTCTAGAGCAAATCATGGAGGAAAATAAAAAACATGGTTCACTGGTCTCCCTTTGTCATGTCTTTCAAGAAGAAGTACCCTTGGATCCAGCTGGCAGGACACGCAGGTAGTGGCACGCCCCTCCCCCCACAGCTTTCCTGCCAGACCGCCAGCTCCCCTGAGGGGTCCCCAGAGCCTGTGGGCAGAACAGGTCTGGTCCTGCACACTCCCGGGGATGGAAGCATCTGGAACAGCTTCTCTGAGACCCCAGCGTCTGCATTCTCAGCCAGACTTGCCGGGTGTGGCCTGAGCCCAGCCTTGGGGACAGCTGCGCCCTCCAGAGCCCGTGCCACCCCTTCCCCAAACACATGCACATCCCCCCTTCCTCTGTCCTTGTCATCTTCGGGCTTTCTCTCACCCTCTTCCTGGACTCATCAATAAAAACTGTGACATCATCAGTCGTGCAGCTCAACCACTCCTGCATCAGCTTGGACAAAGAGGCCACACCGAGCGCTTCATTGAGCGCCTACTGTATGCCCAAATCACCTTGGTCTTGGGGGTCACAACGTTCTTAGAAACATAGTCTCTGTCCCCCATCTTGTAAGTGGGGAAGGTGCAGGCAGGTCACCCCACAAACAAAGGAGGGTCCTAAGTGTAGCTGGCCGGGGCACCTGCCAGCCACCAGGGAGGAAGGACTTGTCACCCCAGAGCCCAAGAGCCGGCCAGTCCACAGGTGGGGGGCCTTTGGTGAGCATCGTCCTCTGGGGAGGTTTCGGCGGCTGCCCCAGACTTGACCTTCATGACCACAGACCAGCACGGGATCTGACATTTCCTTTATGTCCCCAACACCTGGGCCCAGCCCCAGGTGCTTGGACAGACGCCTTCCTAAATAAACACTCCTTGACAGTGTGACTGAGGAGCACTGAGCAGGTGGGCAGTGCCTCGGACCCCCGCTTCTCAGCCAGTGTCCTGTCCCAAGACTGAAGCCGGCCCTCCCAGGACTTCCATCCTGAGACCAGAGGCGGCTTCATTACCCAAGAAGCAGGACCAGCAATGGGTTGGGGGTGGTCACGGGAACACCAGAGGTACGATGCGGGCCCTCCAGTGGCGCGTGCCGGGGTCGTCTTCTGACAAGGAGCTTGCGGTCAGGGAAGCCGGGGAACTGGCTGGCCACCGGGATCTGCGTCCATGCCCCCGGAAAGGCTTGGTCCACAAGCGGGGACCCTGGGGGCAGCCCCAGGAGACCTCCCCGGGGGGGCTGGGGGCTGGGGGTGGGGGGTCAGGGACCAAGGGCCTCCTCCCTCACCCCACAGGGAGCTTCAAGGCGGCAGCCAACGGCAGGATCCTAAAGAAGCACTGCGAGTGTGAGCAGCGCTGCCTGGACCGGCTGATGGCCGACGTGCTGAAGCCCTTTGTGCCCGCCTACCACGGGGACGTGGTGAAGGACGGAGAGCGCTACAACCAGATGGACGACCTGCTGGCCGCCTTCGACTCGCCCTGCGTGATGGACTGCAAGATGGGTGTCAGGTGAGCCCGGCGTGTGCGGGGCAGGCTTGGGGGTCTGCGGGGACCACGGGAACACCATCCCTGCCCCTGCCGTCACATGGCGTGCAGGGGGATGGGACCCTGGCTTTGCCCCTCACGGCCTCCTCCCCTTTCTGGAGCCAATAGCTGTGGGGCCAGGAATGGGTCGGCTCCATGCTGAGCTGCCCTGGGGAAGGCAGAGAGAACTGCCTGCCTCTCTGGGCAGCAGGGGTGGGGGGTGCTGCTCGGAGTAGCAAGGGGGCGGCCGCATAGGGAGGCTGGGGTAGAGGCCCTTCCTGGTGACTCCTGTGCCCACACCCTGGGGTAGGGAGAGCCCGTTACGGGAAGGTGCTGGCTTGCCAGCAGAGACATGTGCCTGCCCTTTGAGTATAAGGGGAGCCCAGAAGCTGCTCCTTTGGTGGACATGGGGTGCTCCAGGGGCCCCACGTAAGGCACAGAAGCTGCAAGGGGGCGCATGGGCCTGTGCATGGAATCGGGTCCAAGCCCTGGCGTCTGCCCGGGGAGACAAGCCAGGGGAGGACTTGGGAGGGAAGGAGACAGGAGGAGCAGCCAGGAGCAGAGAGGGCCCGAGACCATGACTTCTGCTGCCTGGGCCCTGTCTTGACTGCATGGTGTCCTCGTCCCTCTCAGACTTGGACCATTCTGTCCCAGGAGTCCCCGAGCAGCTCCTTCTGTCCTGCAAGCCCTGTCCTGCCTTCCGGGAGCCTGACTGGGCCCTGGGAAGCAGGTCTGGGCTGGGGCCTGTGTTTGCTTTGGGTGGCGGAAGCAGATTTATTTCTTACAAGGGAAGAATGCGAAAGACGGGTGTGTCTCTATGTGTGTGATAGAGACCGGCGCCAGGGAAGAAGCCCCATTTCCCTTCCCTCCTCACCCTTCCTGGGACTGTCAACCCTGAGTGCTGCATTCCTCCTGTGTTGTCCCCAGGCAGGGACCAAGGCGGGGGAGGTGCAGGCCCCACTCCGCTCTTCCGCGTCCTGACCACCCTCCCTCCCTCAGTCCAAGGCCCTCACCGCTCTGGCCCACAAGAGGAAACAAACTGCCCCTCCAGGCACCACGTGGCCACTGCTCTCCCCCAGAGTCTTATTTCTGTCCCAGGAAGGCCCTCCCAGCGGACACCAGGATGGACCCCCTCCAGGGAAGATGCATAAATATTCTGATGAGTTCACTTCAACTGTGGCCAAAAAAGTATAGCCTGAGGGAAGAACCTGCGGCTAGTGGGTCCCGAAAGGCTGCCCTGTGGACCTGTCTGTTCCCCGGGAAGCTGATGGGGATGGGGCCCCCTCCACCTGAGGCTGCCTTCTGTCCCCTGAGTCCCCCCATTGGCGGTCCCAAGGCAGCGGCCGTGGTGTGGGAGCGGAGTCCGTGTGGAGGGGAGGGGGGGGTCTCCGCAGAAGGGGTCCCGCCTCAGCTTCTCCTCCCTGCTTCACGATGCCAGGGACGGGCCCCTCTGCATTCCTGCCGCTCGAAGGCAGGGTCCTGGCCCAGTCTGAGCAGGGGTCACTGATGCCACAGGGGAAGGGGACCCAGCAGGGGCAGGTAGGGCAGCGTGTCCAGACCAGGCCCCGAGGGGGCTCCATGGTGCCCTTTGTCTCTGCGGGGACTGCGCTGCCTCCCCAGCTCTGTCCATCCAGAATCCTTGACCTCACCACCTCCCCTAAGACCAGCAGTCTATGGCCACTCCCAAAGTGTGGCCCGTTCTTGCCAGAGGGAAGAGGCCTGAGTCCCTGGCCTGAGAGGTGGAGACTTGCCACAAGGAAGAAGCGGGCTGGCTGATCAGCAAAGACAGCCTTGGCCATGGTGGGGGCCTAAGGAGCAGGTGACATGGGCACCTGCAGTGTCCTAAACCAGGGGCCTCATGGGGCTGGGGTTCCACATGGACATAGGCTCATGTGGCTCTGGCGAGTTTTTCAGATGCGACCCTGTGGTCCTGTGTGTTGTGCGGCTTGCCAGGCAGAGTCAGAAGCGCCCTCCTGACATCCAAATCAGGGGCTGGCGGGTGGAGACTGGGACCATCCGCAGCTTTTGAAGCCATTGGTGGACTTAGCGTGGAAGCTGTGGTTCCCCACGGACTCACTGCCTTTCCAAGGGGTGCCCTGCCCTGCATATGGTTGCCGGTCCCCCTGCAGCTGACCTCTGCTCCCCCCTGTAAGATGGAGGTGTCGCCTTCCCCCATGGCCAGTGTCAGGGAGCATGGGCCCTACTGTCCAGCTGCTGACCATTTCCTCTGCCAGAGGGTGAGCAATTCCACCCCGGGGGGACTGTGGGGTCTGCTTTGGAAGAAAGCCCCAGTCAGAGGAGACTGAGAGCTGAGGCCGCTTCCCGTTTGAGGAATTAATAAAAGCTCTTGGCAGAAGCAGAGCCCCCCACCCACCCCGCAGGCCCCCACAGGACACTCAGGAGCACTGGGGATGGCCAGCCCGCTCCAGCCACTCAGCACGCACACACAGCCACACACAGGCCAGTGGGACTCCACACATCACTGGCCCGGCCCTGCAGGCCCAGCGGGGTGTGCATGCATGGGGGGGTGTATGTGCCTGCATGGTGGGGGGTGAGTGTGTGTGCATGAGGGGGTGTGTGCGCATGAGAGGTGTGAGTGCATGCGTGGGTGGGCAGGTGAGTGGGTGGGGTGTGTATGCATGCGTGGGTGTGTGGGTGTGAGTGTGCACACATGCGTTATGTGTGTGAGAGTACATGTATGGGCTGTGTGCACAACGGAAGGCCATTTAATGACCAGGCCCATGTTCACACCCGGGGACTTGATCTTTTCTTGTATCTGATACAGTGGTTTCTGAAACCTTATCCTTCAAAGACCTCACAAGTGGATGTGCCATCTGTTCTGGTCCTGCTCGGAGCAGATGTGACGGGCAGTGGCCGAGGAGGGCCTGGGACCCCAGGGGTGGGGGGGCCGGACCTTGGTCACAGCCGCCCACCTTGTGGGCAGCCCCCACCCACAAGGGGCCCCGCGCAGAAAACCTCCCTCGCGGCAGCTCAGCGCTGTGACTTCCGTTTCAGGAAGGCTCGCAGGCAGCCATGGAGCCGGGGGCGGGGGAGAGGGGTGTGACTGGGGGGTAGGGGTGCATCTGCGTATGCCTACGTGTGCAGTGGGGGTGGCTGTCCACCTCAGTCTGGCGGGGGGGGCTGGTGAGGGATTCAGCCAGTCCTGCCCCCGCTGCCATTACCCCACCAGGTTCTGGGGACCCCTGCCAGTTGAGCCGGCAGGCCCAGCCCGCACATGCAGATGGCAGGGCAATGTGCAGGCGTTGGCCACGTTTTCTGGGGCCCATCGGGCTGGGGGCTCCAGTGTGAGGGGGCACGGGCGGGCGAGGCAGGCTGAGCCAGTACATCTGTGATACAACACTGGCCATGGGGCCCCCAGGCTCCCCGTACCGGCCATGGGCTTCCCCCTCCCCCACTGTGGGCCTTTCAGAGGCCACCTTCTGGCCTGGCCTTTGTACTCAGGAGGGGGTTGAGAGAGCCAAGGACATCTAAACCCTTCCTAGAAGGGTGGGACCTTGGGTTCCTCCAGGCTTCCCCAGTGAGGCTGGCGTGGGGTACCCCATTCCCTAGGCAGCCCTGGTCTCCCAACCTGAGTGCATGTGTGTCCCTCTGGGCAACCTGCCTGGGCTAAGCTGAGAGCTGCCCTCGGGCGAGGCTGGAGCTGCAGTCTGACCAGCGGTCCTCATCACCCCCCTCGCCACGCAGGACCTACCTGGAAGAGGAGCTCACCAAGGCCCGGAAGAAGCCCAGCCTCCGCAAGGACATGTACCAGAAGATGATCGAGGTGGACCCTGACGCCCCAACTGAGGAGGAGAAGGCCCAGCGGGCTGTGACCAAGCCGCGGTACATGCAGTGGAGGGAGACCATCAGCTCCACCGCCACCCTCGGCTTTAGGATCGAGGGCATCAAGGTGAGGCCTGCAGGCGCCTGGCTGAGGAGGGGATAGGGGTTCCAGCATGCCCCCGTGGGGTCACAAGTGCACAGGCCGTGGTCCCCACAGCCCTGCTGGGTTTCCACCCTCAGCCCACTCTGGGCCCCAGCGTTGGGGTTGGCTCGTTGGGAGCCCCCAGCCTGCCAGCTGCCTGACGGCAGCGAGCACCTCTGCAGAGCGTCCCCTGGGCACTGCTCTGGGGTGAGAAAGCCACTCGCCCTTCCCCCTGTCCTCTGAAACAAGCATTTTCTTTCCTTTCTGCAACTAGCCCTCGGACTGGCTACAAATTTCATGCTCGTCCCCCTCCCCGTAGTGCTCATTTTTCTCTCCTTATCTGTGTGAAATGACCCCCCAATCCCTCACCTCTCCCTCTCCAGCTGGATGTTCTGACCTCTGGTCACTGCCCGGCCAGCGTTCCCACCAGCACCTTCCCTGCCTCACCCCTCCCCTGCTCCAGGAAAGGGTTCCCCAGAGATGGGCCGTCCACCTGGCTGTCTGTCCCTCCACCCCAGCGTCCTGCTTAACCTTTCCAAGGCGACCACGTTGCATTAACTGGCCTGATGGTGCACAGACCCCCCCAAGTGTGGTGACTCCGCGTGGAGCCATCCTTCCTCAGCCTTTGTCCCCAAGAGCAGAGCTCCTCCTGGGGGAGCTGAGCTCCGTGTGCTTCCCTGGAACAGCCTGGAACAGACATAGTGCCAGAATAAGAAGAGGGAGCCATCTCTTGTCTGGGGTGGGCCAGGGAGCAGAGACAGCATCTTGGCCTCCAGGGAACCTGTGATAAAGGATCTCACATTACAAAGGGAACCTAGCTGACCTTGGGGTTGGGAGCCCCTGTCTTCCGTATGGACAGCAGGGACCCGCGGGCACTCGGGTTCCGAGGGCAAAGCCCCGGGTGAAGTGGAGACCCGTCCTTATCATCCAGCCCCTGCTGCCCACGGCCCCACCCCTCCATCCCTGGCCTGCACACCCCAGGCCTCCTCTGACCCTGTGATAGTGCGGGCGCCTGCCTCCCTCCCCAGCACCTGGGCGCCATGGGGTCTCCATAGCCCCGTGAGCTGCCTGGCATCTTTGGGCTGCCAGGTGGGTGAGCGCCCTGCCAGCCCCCGGGCCCTCTGCTGACACCCCTGGGGGGCGTCCTTGTCCTTCTCAGAAAGAAGACGGCTCCGTGAACCGGGACTTCAAGAAGACCAAAACGAGGGAGCAGGTCACCGAGGCCTTCAGAGAGTTCACAAAGGGGAACCGCAACATCCTGGTAAGTCAGCCCCCCACCCCCCTGGGAGGGGCTGGCTGCACAGGGACCACCCATGGCCCCCTAGGCTTGCCTAGCCCTGGACTGAGCCGGGCCACCAGACCCACACGCCGGCCCCAAACTCCTGCTGGGCAGGTACAAAGGAAGTTGACTCGGTTGCCAGCCCCATTTGAGGGTCACTGGAGGCACTCAGTGGGCTCACTCTCTCCCTTGCCATCCCCTAACGGCATTGGGGACAGTTCCCTCCCATGAGAGGATTGCTGTCACTATAGTCTCAGTGCCTGCCAATGATCGTGGGCTCACCAGATCCGCAGGGCAGTCCCCTGGGGCGGGGAGACTTTCTTGTCCCCACTTCACAGGTGAGGGACTGTGAGAGGGTCAAAGGCCCAGCTAGAAAAGCACAGAGTGGGAACTCACGTGCAGGCCACTGCAGTAGTAGACAAGCTAGACATATGGCTCTGACCTCTGGGGTTAGGACCTTGACCCTCCAGATAGAAGTAGGGTGTACTGAACATCCGCACCCCACGGGAAAGGTGCCCTGGGACAGACCCAGGTGCTTTGGGGACATGGGCCCTGGAGCCCCCAGGGACAGGTTCCTTCTGAGCAGGGTGGACACGGACAGCATTATCTCTGAGCAGACTCCAAGCTGGCTGGACTCTAGGGTCTCCCTCCTTTGCAGGCCGGATAGGCTTCCCTGAGCCCCTGACAAGGAGGCTTCGGGCATGGGGTGCACCCCCAAACTCCTCCACGGCCCGAGCCCCCTGTTTGCCTGCCACAGAGCGCATGCCCCACTCTTGGTGGTGCCAAGCCTGGGCAGTGGCCTTCTGCAGGAGGGCATCGAGGGATGTGGGAGCCTGCATACAGTGGGCTTCCCCGCAGTCCCCAGAGGCCGGCGCAGCTCTGTCCCCATCCGAGGGCTGCACGGAGAGGCCCCTAGCAGAGGCTCCCCACTTTCCCTTCGGAGGGTCACGGGCACGAGGTCTGTGTTCTGGAAGGCCCCATGGTGGCCAGGCTGTTTGGAGGCTGCCTCCACACTATTGGCCTTCCAGAATGAATGTCACACTGTGTGAGAGCTCGTAGGGGCTGCACGGCTCAGCAGGGGCCTCCCCTCCCAACCCTCCCACTCCCAAAGGAGTGTGGATGGACAAAGCATGGCACCAGGAGTCGGGCTGCCTGCCTCGCCTGGGCCTGGGGCTTGGAATAAATGCTCAGGGCGGAAGGCCCCTTCCACTCTGACACCCGGCAAAAAGCCACTCCACCCCCAAGTGTTTAGAACTCTGGCCATTTTCCGTCCCCAGATCGCCTACCGGGACCGGCTGAAAGACATTCGGGCCACTCTAGAAGTTTCTCCCTTCTTCAAATGCCACGAGGTAAATACCGGGCTTTCCTTCTCTGGGTTGTGGCTACAACCTTTGGGTCTGCCCACCTGAGTGGTGAGCACACCTCCCACGCTCATGGACCTGCTTGTTCTGGAAACCCGAGGGCAAATATTAGGACCACACAGCCAGAGAGGCAGGCTGCCCGGGACCAGGCCACTCGCTTCCGCCAGGAGCCCCATCCACACATGTCTGCCCCAGGCTCCCTGGACAGACCACGCAGGGCTGTCCTGCCTCAGGGCCATGGTCATCCATCCTCCCACTGCTTCCTGCCCCACCTGGCTCCCGAGACTTCCATCCCACAGGCCCCCAGGTCTCAGGGCAGAGCCCCCAGAGCTGCCGAAGGAGCCACCCATCACCACCAGAGAACTTTGGGCACCACCCTGGGAGCCCGGCTGGACCTTTCCACCTGTTCCTGCTTCCACATCTGTGTGTCTGCGGGGGCAGCAGCCAGGGAACCCAGACACCCGAGACAGGGTTCCCTGGGGGGGTCTGCAGGACCGTGGGGTCAGAGATGCCAGGCCTCTGGCCCCTGGAGTGTGCACGCACACATGTCCACATGCACACGCCTGTGCATGCCGCTTCCCGGAAACGGTTACTGCCGTGGCGAAGCAGGCACCCCACGCTCCCCACAGCCTTGCAGCTCCTTCCAGAAAGGTCTTGTACGGAGGGAGCCTCAGCTTGAGCCTGAGCCTGAGCCTAAGCCTGAGCCCGGCCCACAGAGAGGGCAGTGGGGGCAGCAGGTGGAACAGGAAATGGGTGGTCCCAGGACCCCGGGCAGTGGGAGCTTCCCCAGGGGGCTGGGGGGGGGCGGTGGGCAGGCCCTGCCAGGCCTCACAGCATCTTGGTGCAGGTGACACGCCTGGCCCTGCTTCCAAGCACACAGCCCAGCTTGCCCTGCAATTTTATCCCTAACTTGTCCTTCGGTCAGGGTGCACCTGTCCCACGTGGTGACTCTGGCAGGTGCCTGGGTAGGACTGCCCGTGAGGAGGGACTGGGGTGCCCAGAGGGCAGACAGGGTGGGCTCTGCCCTGAGCAGCTGCCCCTGGCCTAGCCATCCCCAGGTTGCCCTTTCCTCCCCTTCTCCACACTGAGGCCCTGGGTGTGCAAGCCCTCTGCCCCTCCCAGGGCCTCTGGATCCCCAGCTCGGTAAAAGGTCTTTGTGCGGCCCCACTGGAGCCTCCCTTCCCCTCAGCCGGCTTGCCTGCTCCAGAGGGCACGGGCCGTGCGTGGGCCTCAGAACCCCAGGACCTGCCGACTGGGCCGAGGGACCGCACCACACTGCCCGGGTCCTGGGAACTATAAGGACCCCGCACCCTCTCCCCAGACTCTCTTACTTCCTTCGCCCCACACAGTGACCTGGGGGAGGGTGTGGGGGATGGATTTGTATTTGGGAAAGTGCCTCACTCCATGCAATTGCTCTGACCTGGCCCAGAGCGGGGGCGGGGGAGTGGCGGGGGTGGGGGGCAGGGTAGGTCTCCTTGGTGCCCACGGTTGTCGGTTGTCGGTTGTCAGAGCGGGGCCATAGCAGAGACCAGCCCCAGAGGCCCTGCTGGGCCTCTCTGCTCAGGCTTTGCCTGGGTCATGCTACTGGAATGGGGGTGGTCTGGGCCTCCCTGCCACCCTCCTGGGTGGCTATGTGTGCACTGGGCAGGTCCATCAGGAGGTAGGAATTGCAGGGTGAGACCCCAAGCTTTAGCCGTGGTCTGAATAGTGGGGGCGAGGGTCTGCCACCCCAGAGGTTCTCCCTGACGCCGCCCACACGGAAGGTGGTGGCTGTCCCGGTGGCCGGCGTCCTTTGCCCCCTGCTCTGCCACCCTGGGTGGGCTCTGCCGGGTGGGATAGGGCTTCGAGCTCTGGACTCCTCAGCACTCTGGCTGCAGGGGGCGAGCTCTGGGGGCTCCAGCGCTGCCCTCCCCAGTTCCCCATTCGCTGCCCTCTCCCCCCAGGTCATCGGCAGCTCGCTTCTCTTCATCCATGACCAGAAGGAGCAGGCCAAGGTGTGGATGATTGACTTCGGGAAAACCACGCCCCTTCCCGAGGGCCAGACCCTGCAGCACAACGTGCCTTGGCAAGAGGGGAACCGGGAGGATGGCTACCTCTCGGGCCTGAACAACCTCATCGACATCCTGACGGAAATGTGCCAGGACGATCCACTCGCCTGAGGCCCCACGGCACCCGCATCTCCACCCCGTCCCTTCCTACTCCTCCGCTTCCTTTCTCCTTTCACTTCCCTTTGCGTCTATCAGGGTGTGAGCCCCAGAGCCGACCCTCCCGAACTGCACTACAAGACACTTTGTAGAGATGAGATGGAGAGTTCCAAGAGCAGATGAGAGATTTTTCTGGTCACTTTCCTCATGAAGGGCTTGGAGCTGGGGTTTCTACATCTGTCTGTGCGTAGGATCTCCCAGCAGAAGAGGAATGCCCAGACCCGGGCTTGGCAGCCTGGAGGGCAGCTCTGGTGGGTTGAGGTCTGGAAGCAGACTCAGGTAGCCGTGGCACTCACTGGTGGGTTACTAACCCAGGAGCCAGGTGCAGCCTCTGGATGGGTCACCTGCGGAGGCCTGCTGCCCCCTGGTGGCCAGTGCGGTCAGTGCCACTGCCAAGCTCAGCCGGTGTGTGTGCCATCCTCCCCCTGCTGGGGGCGGGGATGGGGGGACGTTGTAAGAATCTGGGCTTGGGCAGGTGCCTGGCTGCGGGCTGCTGGTCTTGGGGCACCAAGCCACTGGGAACTGCGTGTCGGCCATTAACAGCCCAGGGGCGCGCACAGATGGTGTTGGCCTTCTATAGGCACCCCACCCATCTGGTATTGAAATCCTCCAGCTTTGGGCCATACCTGGGAGTCAGGAGATGTTCTCCCACCCAGGCCTTCGCAGGAGGGGGCAGGCAGGAGCTGTATTCTTCCATATGATTCTCATCCTCTGAGTTCAGAGGACACTCCACACACCTGAGCTTCCAGGGCTGTCCCCTAACCCCCCCCAGAGCCACTTGTGCCTCCAGCTCCCTGCCTTGCAGTAGCAAGGTCAGGGGTCCCAGGTGGGGCGGGCTGGGACACAACCAGCCCCGGAGGGAGAAGACAGAACCTACAGAGCACACTCCCTGTACATCCCTTCACATACACACCCGCACCATCTTCCTGGGCTTCTTTTATGAGATCAGGCCCCCAGAAAGTTCAGGCAGGCTCTGGGGCAGTGCTGGGCAGGGAGGAAGCAGTTTCCTGGCTTACTGGCCTCCCCTCCCCACTAAAGTAACTCTTAGTGCCTGAAGGGGTTAGACCTACATTTCCCAAATGTGGTGCGGGCAACCCCCAGCATAGGGGATGGGAGACAGGGTGGCATCTCTCACTGGAGTCTCCAGGTTGCTTGAACATGACTGAGGAGCCCCTAAACTGTGTTTTAACTTTCAAGCAAGTTACGTCTCTCTTATGGAGAAGAATGTAAAATTGGCCTGACTTTGTAAGAACAAAACTATCAGCTCTCTGGCCATGCAGAGCTGCGCTCCCCAGGTGCCCTCCTTCGCCCATGGAGGTACAGGAGGGCCCAGAATTGAGCTCTTGACAGGCAGCAGGTTCTGGGGTCAGTTCCTCCAGAGGGACCAGTCCAGAAGTTTCCTGGGCTGCCGCCTGTCACCCCAGGGTCTCTGGAGGGACCTCCGATCTCCCCCTAGGACACCAGCATTTCCCCTTTTCGTGCTGGGTGAGTGACGGTTGGTGGGGGTGGAGGGCGGGTCGCAGGAGGATGTTTAAGTGCAGATTTTTTTTTTTTAAAGGAAATCCCTTTTAAACTTCCTGGCTTTTGTTGAAAACAGTGGTGAGCTCCCATGTGGGGTATGCTAAAAGTCAGACACACACCCCCCCAGCTGAGTGCAAGAGGTCTCGTGACAGCATGTGACCCTCTGAAGGCAGGAGCACCACAGCCAGTTCTGGGCCTCCCTCTGGAGCTGGAGTCACCTGTGGCTCAGAAGGGGCCTGGTGGTCTGTGCCTTGGCAGTCTGCTGGGGGAGGGATATCATCCTTTCAGAACTCCAGATTCCAGATCCCAGCTCTGTGGGCTGGCCAGAAGTCGCCCTCCCTCGATCTATGTAGAAAGTTTGCTAAAGCAAATGAATGCTCTGAACAGGAAGTGCAGGGGACCAGCTTGAGCTACTTAAGAGAACAAAATTTCCAAGCACTTTAAACACGCACCAATTGTTTGCGAACGATGTGCTGAAATACAAGGGATGTGTTTATCAGAGGAGGTCTGTGCAGATAAGCCGGCTACAGGTTGCTTTGGGGCACGTTCTATCAGCGAAAGTGGTATCTTTGCGGTGTTATTCTCTTCCTTAGGGCTTGGGGTTCTGTATGTACTAAATAGCTCTCCTCTCCCGCACCTCTTCTCTCCAACTGGCGTGCCCCCTTCCCTGCCTCCTCCTTGTCCTAAAGGAGTAGATGGATCCTGAGTGGAATTTCCCGGAACCCTTCCCTGCCCAGCCCTGGTCCCCACAGGGACACCTCGGATTCTGGCCGCGCAGGTGCTGGGAGGGCGGGGCAAGCGAGGCGCATGCGCACAGGTGCAGGGGCGTCCTTCCTGCCGGGTCCTCGCGGTGCCCCGGGTGGGGGAGGGGGGTGTTCTCGGAGAGCAGCATGCTTCACGTGTTCGCGGAAGATTTCTCTTGCCTTTAGTGTCGTGTAAGAAGTTTTTAAGTTATATTTATTTTTTCCGGTTTTTTTAATTGCACAAAACACTAAGACTGGGAGGCTGGATTCTGTGTGTCCTTTAAAGCTGTGCCTTCTTCCTGAACTTCTTTTCCCACTCGGTGGAAAGAGCCCGGACACCGCACTGCCCCCCCCCGCCCCGCCCATGGACTCTTTCCGCTGTTCGCTGTATCTAGCTTTGAGTTTGCCCGCATCCAGTCCACCACGTCCCCTACACCTCCCCCATGTGTAGAGAACCCAGGCCGCCGGTTTGGGAAGAGGCCAGGGGTTCCCTGCCCATCCCCAGTGCCTTTCTCCTAGAGGAGACAACTCCCCAGAGGGTTCTCCTTCCCTCTGCACCCCTTTCTCCGTGACACCTTGGAGAAAACTGTTACAAGCCACCCACCTGCGCAGTGCCTGTCGAACAGACCGCGTCACTCTGTACCTTCCTGAATAAAGGCCCGAGACACCACAGTACTGGCCTCCTTGCGGTCCTTTCCGCCCAGAGCCTTGGAGAAGCGCCTCGGGGTGGGTGGGGCACTGCGTTCTTTGGAAACTGGAAGATCGCGCTGGGGCCCCAAGAATCCCCCCAGGAATGGGGCTCAGATTGGGTAACATTTCGATCTGCAAACGATTTAAACAGGCTTCAGATCCAGTCTTTTCAGCCTTGTCCACAAAACCTTTGCGTAGTTAGTCATTGAGGACACAGAATGACCACAAGAAGGGATCATCTCCCACCCCACAGCCCAGGGGACCACGGGGAGGCCATTGCATGTGGAGACGAGCTCTGTGCAAGGTGGGGAGCTGGCTGCTCGCCTCTGTGGTCCCCTTTGATCCCAGTTCACCTCCACCAACATTGCTCTGCAGTCTGTTTTACAGAGGGGGAAACTGAGGCCAAACAAGGGACCTGGACAATAAATGGGGAGCAGAGATTTGGATCAAGACTCTGCCTGGTTGCAGACTCCATTCTCTCTTGCTCCTGCCTGGCGAGCATTCTCAGGCAGAGAGCCTGTCCTGTCTTTGCCCTGCCTGGGTCCCAGGCTCTCAGCACGGGGCTTGGCCCTCCCTGGCCTACCCTGTCACTTCTCACTGCAAGGGCTGCTTGCTCTCAGAAAGCAGTAGAAATAAGCCTCTCCTCCAGGTTGCTTCCTGGAGAACCTGAACAGAAAGAAGTAGTCTTGGCTCCAATGTTGGCCCCTTGGAGAGGGGTGAGGGCCCCGGGCAAGAGTGAGACACCCCAGCCACCGTCTCCCACAGCAACGGTCCCACCCTCACCTTAATGGTGGCAGCCGCCCGTGAGATTTAGACTGTGTCCACACCAGAGGGATGTCACCCTGAAGATGGGGGCTTACCCCTGGGGACTGGTGTTTCTTCAGCGTCTCGCCGGGCCCAAGACAAGTGCTTAGCCAATGTCTGCTGACGGGGACCTTGAGCACTGTCGGTGACCACCGTGGTCAGATGCGTGGATGCCCTTCCTTCTGCAGAAAGACTCACGGTTGGCTGGCGTGGGCTCCCTGGTCCCTGGGTTTGCGGCCCCTGCGGCCCTCCCTTCTCTGGGTCTTAATCTAGACCTTGTCATTGCCCTGACTGGTCAGCAGAACACCCCGCAAATGCTTGCTGGAAGGCGTGAGCGTCAGTCCCCCCTTCTACTCTCAGCTCTGTCCTCTGCGGCACCCCCCCCCAGGGCTTGGTGATCGCCCCCCCACCCCAGCCCCTCCAATGTGAAACCCCACACACCTGTGTCCCAGGCCTGCCACTCTTCCTGAGCCAGGACTTCGAAGCCTGGTCTCCTCCAGCACAGTCATCAGTGGGACCAGGGGCATCCGGGCCCTCTCAGCTTCTGCCCCCCTCCTCCTGCCAACCTGGAGCGGACCCCACATCCCCCAGAGGTCCAGCCCTAGAAAAAGGACCCCAGGCTGTGGCGGAGGGGTGGAGGGGAGCCTAGGCACTGCCAGGACACGTGGACATCCACTGTGGGGGGAAAGAGTTGTCCTCGCTCACTTAATGGGGTCTTGGGTCTTTCTTCCTGCTTCGGACAAACTCCCCTGGCCAGGCTGCCTGCTGACCCAGAGAGAGCTCAGGGTCTGCTGCCCATGGGTCCCCCAGTAGTCTGGGATGGGGGTGGGGGGACAAGGCACTCCAGCAGGGCAGGGGAGGGGGTGGGGCTCCTCTCCCTCTTGTTGTGGTGGTTCTCACCAGGATTCCTGGAAAGTGTGAGTCTGTGTCTGTTCTCCTCGGGTGAGGATCGAAGGTCTGTGCCCCATCAGGTAAACCCAGCCCAGTGATGTTCCTGGGAACCAGGGCACCAACCATAGGTGGCTCTGTGGACCTACTGGGCTCTCTGGGAAGGGGATTTGGGTCAAAACTCTTATTTCATGGACTCCGTAAGCAGAGGGCCCTGGTGGCATCTCCAGCGGCATTTTGGACAGCAGCATCTGCACAGACCTGAGAAGACTGCCCCTTGCAGCTGTAGTGGGAAGTGCAGTCCCTTCCAGAACTAAGTCATAGACAAGACGCCACAGGGACCAAAGGCCTGCCCACACCTCCCCTCCCCCGGCACCTCATTCCCATTAATGTCAGAGGAGAGCCATGGATATGGGGATACCACCCTCTTACTTCCACCAGCAATGGGGCCCCATTGCATTCAGAGCCACAGGCAAGCCAACTTCCAACTCCCACTCCAAGGTTCTACTGTCTACGATGAGCAGTTGTGCTAGGACCATCCCGAGCCCTAGGAAACCTGATGGCCAGTCACCCTATTGCTTTTCCACGTCTCCTCTGGCACCAACCAGCTCAACCTGGGTTCCCTAGAAACCAGGTAAAAGCTGGCTTTTATCAGGGAGAGCGATCCCAAGGGGCTCGGCATGGTGGGGGGTGGAGGGTGGTGTGTGGAACAAGGTTGGGACAAAGCAAGGGGCAGAATCAGCAAGCGTAAGCCACTCTCCCAGCGCCCCCAGCTCTGCCTCCCACTGGCTAACCTGTCCACAGGACCTCATCTCAGGTGGGCGGCACTGCTACTCGGGTGCCCGTGTGGGTCAGCGCAGTGATGGTGAGGCAGCAGCCGAGGCCCTAACCATGGGAACAACACAGGCCTTTGCTGGGCTCCTCTGGTCTGGGGTGCTCTGGGAACCAAGGTTGACCAGGCTTTTCCAGTGAACACCAGAGGGCAATGCCCATCCTGCCCCCACTGGCCAGTCCTCCATTCTGTCCCTTGCACTTCCCTGACTGATGATCTCACCCCCTTACCCAGTTGGACAGGAAGTTGGGGTCTCATCAACCTGCGAAGTCTGGGGAGGAACGAGAAACTGGAAATAAGCAAGCTCCCTGCGGGTCTGCCTAGGGTTGGCAGGGGCGTGCCCGGGCTGTCTTCAGACCAGGGACCCCCAAGAAAGCCTCCCAGAACCAGCTTGAAAACCGGTAGTTGGTGGGAAGCCTGCTGGGTTGGGGGAGGGGAGCCAGGAGACCCAAGCCTGTCTCTGAGCCATGGCAGGGCTCCAAGGTCACTGAGGTTCTTCACTGAAGTGTGGGGGGGTCGCTTGGCTTAACACGGTGGTTTCTCACCTTTGGGGATCACAGATATGATATGCCTCAGGTAATTTAAAGGAAGCAATGAACCCTTTTCCCAGAAAAATGCCCATAAGCATACACACAAAGTTATATAGGAATTCAGGGACTCCTGGACACTCCCTTCCCCCACCAGCCCCTGGATAGATCCCCAGGTGGTGGGCAGGCCTGACTTAAGAATGCTTGGTTTGGGACACCCGGGTGGCTCAGTCAGTCAAGCAGCTTTGTTCGGCTCAGGTCATGATCCCGGGCTCCTGGGATCAAGTCCCGCATCAGGCTCCTTGCTTGGTGGGGAGCCTGCTTCTCCCTCTCCCTCTGCCTGCCACTCTGCCTGCTTGTGCTCTCTCTGTCAAATAAATAAATAAAATCTTAAAAAAAAAAAAAAAAGAATGCTTGATTTGTCACAGCCCTTCCTGCTAGGGGAACACTCCCCAACCCCTCCCTGCAAGGGCGTCTCTGTCATCAGAGGCCAGCTTGGCAGCTGTCCCCCTTTTCCCCCTCCCCTAATGATCCAGACTTCTGAAAGGCATCACCTTAGAACTACGGCCCACCTATTTTTGTAAATAAATCTTTATTGGAAATAGCCATGCACTTTTTAATGTA